ATGGATGGATGGATGGATGGATGGATGGATGGATGGATGGATGGATGGATGGATGGATGGATGGATGGACGGATGGATGGACTGACCAAAAAACGGCCGTCCATATGGATGGATGATTACAATAATCATTCCCTCTTCTTTGCATTTTAAACTCCTAGATAAAAAGCCATTTTGTCACATTTACAATTCTAAAGGTCACTTGAGAATCATGTTGTTAGCTGTGTGTACCATGACGTTCTTAAGGAAACCACTTCAGTGTAAGGTTTTATCTTATCTCTACCATCAGGTTAGCTGTTCTGAAAGTTAACAATGACCAAATTTTGCACAACCTCGTACTGTGAACCACATTTATCAGGTAATAAAGACAGGAAACCATCGGTTCATCACAGTAAAATGTCACCAAACTGATAGCAAAAATAATTCTCTTCTGAGGCATCAGTGAAGTGCAGCCTTTGCCCCCGTCTTCTCTTGCATATAAAAGCGAGTCTTTGTTGGAGCAGCCAGACAGAAAGAGACCACCTCAGAAAAGGTATGCAAGTCATCACACACTCATTTTACAGAAATACAGGCTGTGTATTGTACCGCAATGTTATGTAAGGCATAACAGAACCATTGTTTCTTTGTCAGGCTGATTTGAGGTAAAAACCCAGTGCAAAAACAAGATGGGTCGACTGACTATCTTGGCTGGTAGGTCAATTATTGTAAATATTGATTTATTTAAATAATTGTTGTTAATAAAATTGTTTTTTCAGGACTCTCTCTTCTGATATGTCTTCAGACTGGTATGAATTAACCTTTTAATGTTTCCTATTTTTGGATCTGAATCACAACAGCAGTAGAATAAATGCCTAATACTCATCCTTGTTTTCTTTTTCTGGAAGTATCTTCAACAAAACTGGTGTGTTACTTTACCAACTGGTCCCAGTATAGACCAGGTGTTGGTAAATATGTTCCCGAAAACGTGGATCCCAACCTCTGCACACACGTGATTTATGCCTTCTCCATAATTAGCTCTTCAAACGAGCTGATAACGTTTGAGTGGAACGATGAGGTTCTTTATAAATCCTTCAACGCACTAAAGAACAGGTTAGTTGTGTAGATTAAAAGTCAATTTCACTTTGTTTTTGTTCTTCTCTCACAAGAACAAACAGAAACATAATGCAGAACRTATGATAGAGCTGAGCTGCAATATTTAATTGTTTGTAAAACTCATTTGAACATTTCGGATACTGACAAATTACTCAAAACATTTAACTGTTTCTCATGCAAATGTTTATTGTTTACTTCTATATATGGTTATTTATATTCTCTAAACTATATTTTTGATGAGACAGAAGTAAAAATGTGCAATTTATGCTCAAGTTTWCTGTTACCCTCTGGTCTGGTGATGAAACCAAAAAGTCTTCCTCTTGGCATAAAGCAAGTTTAAAGGAGGTCTTAAACATAACTTGTATTATTTATATCTCCATCGCAGAAACCCTCAGCTGAAGACTCTGCTGGCTGTTGGTGGCTGGAACTTTGGGACGTCACAGTGAGTCCACAACAACATGCCGATATGAGTTTGTTGGACCAAAGGTCATTAACACTTTCTGCAGTCACTGATTTTATTGAAATATCTACAGATTTACAACCATGGCTTCAACTCCTGCCAACCGCCAGGTGTTCATCCAGTCTTCCATCAAATTTCTGAGACGGCACGGCTTCGATGGGCTGGACTTGGACTGGGAGTACCCTGGAGCACGAGGAAGCCCGTTAGAAGACAAGAAGAGGTTCACGTTGCTCTGCCAGGTTAGTCAAACAAAGACATCTCCCCACTGAGCGATCCGCAACAAATAACTAAAACATCTTTAGTTTCATCAATCATTTTGTCATTCAAACAGTTTTAACTCACACATTTTTCAAGTTCAAGTATTTGGTTACTTTGAAAAAGTTACATAACATACAGTATTAAGGATATATTGAATGATACTGCCGTTGCGATTTTTATGAAGATATGTAAATGTTGAACCTGTTCCTGTTCTTTTGGACTGAACAATATGAAGACTGTAAACTTTCCCTCTTTCATTTAGGAATTACTTGCTGCTTTTGAAAAAGAGGCAGCAGAGACCAAAAGGCCACGGCTGCTGCTCACAGCTGCAGTGGCAGGTGGGAAGGGGAACATTGACAATGGTTAYGAGATTGCCGAAGTATCTAAGTAAGTTCTTCTATCATCCCCGCTCTTACATAACACTGTTAGCAGTTTTATAATACAAGTCTAAAATACAGTAATCAGTGAAATAAAGTAACAAACATCATATGTGTAAAATGTTTTATGTGAGGCTATCTGAATCCTGCAAGAACAACATAAACAATAGCAACTAAAAACTTGGGAGGGAGGGTGTTAACTTACACGTCATGTCTTTATTTTATTTATTTCCGCTTTTCAAACTTTGTACAGGACTCTAGACTTTTTAAATATCATGACCTATGACTTCCATGGAGCCTGGGATCCATTCACTGGACACAACAGCCCTCTTTTCAGAAGCTCTGTCGATCAGGGAGAACACATATATTTCAATGTTGTAAGTACAACCTCATAAAKGTGAAATAGATAACTGCAGTAATATATTTGTTTTTAATATGTAATCTTTGTGTTTTACAGGACTTTGCCATGAAGTATTGGAGAGATCAGGGAGCTCCGGCCGAAAAGCTGTTAGTTGGTATTCCCACGTATGGACGCACATTCCGCACAGTATCAGCAACTCAAGGTCTTGGAGCACCAACCAGTGGACCAGCCTCTGCCGGGCCATACACCAGAGAGGCTGGATTTTGGTCCTACTATGAGGTCAYATAACCCAAAATCACATGTATTTAGTTYATAATAACAAGTTAAACCAAAGGGTTTAGACACAGAGCATGATGAGAATGTTTAAGTTGGTAAGTTCTTCTTTTCTATTTTCAGGTTTGCAATTTCCTCAATGGAGCCACTGTGCACTGGATTGATGAACAGAAGGTACCTTATGCAGTCAAAGGCAATGAGTGGGTGGGCTTCGACAACAGGAAGAGCTATGAAATCAAGGTAAACCATATTATTATTATTATTATTAATATTAAGGGGTTGCCATATCAAGTCTTGCTATGATACAAGTGTGTTTTATTCTCATGAAAACCCAGAAATCTTAATAAAGGTCATTAATGAAGAACTTGAAAAGTTATCCACTTGGTTTAAGTCCAATAAATTGTCACTTAACATAAAAAAAACAAATTATATATTTTTTGGTATTACATCTAATATATTTAAATCTACAATGAAAATATAAATTGATAATATTTTGTTTACCAATGTTAAATCCACTTGTTTCCTTGGTGTTATAATAGATGATTCTTTATGCTGGAAACCTCATGTTAGTGCTGTAAGTACAAAAGTCGTAGTAGGAAAATCCGGCATCTGATTGATAAAAAAGTTGCAACTATGTTGTATTATACTATGTTGTATCCATATATAAATTTCTGTAATATTGCTTGGGCTAGTACCCATCCAACCACACTGGAGTCTATTTTTCGACTTCAGAAGCGAGCTTTAAGAATAATATTTTGTATAAATTGTAGACATCACTCTCAGTCACTGTTTGCTCAGGCAAATATTCTCAGTGTTTACCAATTGAATCAACTTCAAATTGCTTTATTTGTTTATAGTTCTATAAAAAAAGTTACTTCACCAGCATTTTTGTAACATTTTTACTTTTTGTAACAAATTTCAGCAGTATTCAACTCGTAGAAATGGTCTTATTAGACCCCCTTACTGTCGTACAACTCAAGCACAGTTTAGTGTTTTATGCAGAGGGTCAAAGATATGGAACAGTCTTCCAGGGTCCCTCATGGATGTTTCCAAAGAGATTTTTAAGTGAAGAATCAGATTGTTACTCTTGAGTTGTTCTGGTTTCCCTTATGGGTTTGATTATTGAAAGCATTTTTTCTTTTTTCCTTTTATTTTTATTGTTTTATTTTTTGTAATGTACAATTTTTTTAATTTATGTAATTTTTATTTCTTTTTTTTCCTTTTAGGAGATTGCTGCTTGTCAAGCCCCTTGAGGGTTTTTTGGCAATTCTCCTTCACATTTGTTTTTTGTAATATAATTATGGCACTTACTATTATTTTTGTTTTATTCTATTTTTCTCTTCTTATTTTATGAAATTTTATTGTGAAATAAAGATGAAAAAAGTCATTTTCCCTCCAGCTCACTCTGTCCTCACTCCATCTACCTCTATGTCCTCTCTGACTGCATTCACATACTGTACCTGTTCTTTGTTTATTTCCTGGAAGCTACATCTCTAACATCCTCCTACCAGTATACCCACTGTCCCTCTGGACATGTCCAAACCACCTCAGTCTGGTCTCTCCAACTCTATCGCCCAGTAGTTCAAACCTGTGCTGTACCTCTGATGATTTTATTCCTAAACATTTCCATCCACTTCACTCCCAATGAGAACCTCAACATCTTCCGCTCTGACACTTCCAGTTCTGTCTTGTCTTTTTGTTAAACCCTTTAAATGGTCGGTCTTACTGTCTTACAAAACTTCTTTCTACTTTTTCTGCCACCCTTTTGTCACATATTACTCCTAAAATATTTCTCCAGCCTGCCTAGACTCTCTTCTTGACCTCTTTACCACACTCTCCATTTTCATGGACTTGTGGCCGTAAGGACTTCCACCTCTGCTCCTCGTGTCACTGTTCCACCTGCCTCCTTCTTCTTATTCACCCACATTTTGTTTTGCCATGGTTGACTTCACTCTCTCTTTTTTAAGTCCAAGTGTATAGCTATAATATTAATGAGAAAAAATACTAGTCATTGTCATTTGCTGCCACTTTCCTCTGAATCATTGTTCTTTGAATGAGAACAGACCCTGGGTGCAGCTGGCACTGATAAAGCTTCATAAACACATGCAGTTTTTTCATAGACTGAGCAGAAGATGGCACACTTGTTACAAAGTTGATTTTTTTCTACAGTGCAAATGTTGCTTCTGACTTTGACTTTTTCGTTTAGTATTTCAATTCTTGATATTTTTTATGTAATAGTTTCATCATGAATATATACTTTTGCTTGAAAAATATGATTCAATCTTTGGTGATAAATAGAGCTTCACAAAGACTTTTGAAAGTGTAAACTAGTAAAGCACAAATCTAATGTAAAAGAGAAAAATACTGTGTTTTGACAATTTGCGAGCCAGAATCTAAAAACATTTCCAAGGTCATAGTGCTAAGAGCCACAATGTCAATAATATCTTAGCTTGTTTGTTTGTGTGAGACAGCCTGGCCAAAGTGGCTGAAGAATGGCAGCAGACTGATGTTTTCCAGTGTAGCAGATGGTTTATTTACCAAATTTATTACTAAAAAATACTTGCAAAAAATCCCAAGATTGATTAAGAAGATAAATTGTCTAAATTAGGACAATTACACATAAACCTGCCAAAACATAAACAAAGCTGGGATAGTAAAAGTTTGCAGGCTACAGAATAAAAAGGAGGTGTGGCTAAATCAAACAAACAAGAATTTAAACTGGTTTATTTTGGAAGAGTTATCTTTTTTGAGGTACTGTGGCTCAGTAGCTGTTGCCTCTCAGCAAGAAGGTTGCCAGATTGAATCCAGCTGGAGTTTGCATGTTTTCTCAATCCACGTGGGGACTTTCTCCAGGTAACTCAGTTTCTTCCTATAGGCCAAAAACATGACTGTTAGGCTAATTTGTAACTCTAAATTGTCCCTAGATGATAGTGAAGGAGTGAATGGTTGTTTGTATATGCATCACACAGTGACTGCTGGATATGAGCACCAGTGACCCTGAAAGGAAGAAGTGAGCAAAAGATAATGGATGGATTTTTTTTTTTTTTTTGGTGCTGGTTTCCTAAATTAAAACACTACCAAACAGTGGGACAACAAAGGGTAGGGATTTCGTCCTCCCACTCTGTCCATCTCAGTCATTGTGTCCATTTCACCCACCTTGCCTGCTGGTGGTGGTCAGAGGCCTCGGTGGCAAAATGCATAGCAGCCTTGCCTCTGCTAGCCCGTCCCAGTGCACCTGTGGCTACAACATAGCTTACCACCATCAGTGTGTGAGTGTGAAGAGTTTTGGTATCTGTAGGGACTTGATAAAGAACAATACAAGTTCAGACCTTTTACCAAACAATATTTTGATGTTCAAATTCTTAAAAGCTTCAAATTAGCAATGTTAGGACTTTTTTAAGCAGCCCTATTCCAGTTTGTCTCATGAATGAGTAAATAATATAAGTGTTTGTTTTGTTGGTTCGCACTGTGACCTGACAGCAAAAATATCTGGAGCTTGAATCTCATCCGTGCAGTTTTTCTGCTTTGAGTTTAAAGCTTCTGTGTTTCTGCTGGGATGGTTAAAATAAAGGAATATGAAATGCTCACGGAATGTAACTATAGGTCCTTTCTTTCCAAATGAACTCTATTTGGCTTTTTCATGTTTTGACTGCAAAAAAGGAAATATAAAATATGACATTCGATGTACCTAATGTTTTGTAGGCGCAGTTTGTGAAGGATAACAAATTTGGAGGAGCATTCATCTGGTCTCTGGATCTGGATGATTTTGATGGACACTTCTGTGGTGAAGGAAGCTATCCTCTCATTGGTTATCTGCGCTCTCTCCTTAATTCAGGTGAACCATATTTAACACAGACATCACCTCCACTTCTGGAAAATCATATTCCTGTGTTTATTGTAATTTAATCATRCCACATATTTTTGCTAGATTTTCCACCTCCTCCTGTAACCACACCTCCACCAGTCACCACAAGCCGCCCCGGTCCAGCTAGTCCCACGACTGCAGCCAGCACCATCACCGGCCAAACTACCACCGCTGATGCTTCTGGAAGKGGTTTCTGTTCTGGAAAGGCTGATGGACTCTACATAAACGAGAAGGATAGCAGCTACTTCTATCAGTGCTTCGAGGAAAATACATTCTTGCAGCAATGCCCAACTCATCTTGTTTTCAATGAGAAATGCCAATGCTGTGACTGGCCCTAAATAAATATCTTATTTGTCAAATTTAAATATGCTGTGGTGTTATTTGGCCCATTAGAGCAAAAAAAGCAGAATATAAATCAGAGTCCTCTCAGTCCTGCATGATTAAAAATATTTTCCCATAAAACCTAAAGGTGTTCTTACTGAACTCAAGCAAAAAATATCAAAGAAAATCCATAATAAATTTAAAGCAGTTGAAAAGAGTACTACAGTAAAGTAAAAGTACAGTTACTCTGCTGAAATTTTACCCAACTACTAGTAAAGCTACTACAACAAACATGTAATAAAGTAAAAGTAATTCTATGACTACAGTTCTTATGTTGCCCTAATCAACGTAACAGCCTATCAGCATCAAATTATGCCACTTTCATTTGCCTCCTTGCTGTTAGCTCATTGGTCCCTTTCCCTGTTATGTTGACCTTCCCTCTGGCAGTTCAAAAGTTACCAACAGAGATGATCTTTTATCGCGCTCCACTGTGCTTTCAGAAAACAATAATCAGCACAGTTTTAGAAGAGGCGTGGAAAAAAAGCTCAGCTGCTCTGATTCAAGCAGGAATTGTTGAATGACACTTGTCCCTTATTATTTTTGCAGAGATCAGAGATCAGACAGAGGTGATCTGAACATATGTTAGTAACATACAGGGTGTCATCAATAGACCGATGCAAACGTCCACGTTATTACACATAGCTGTAATTTATTGTTTGAGAGAATGTCCTGCAAAAAATAATAAAAAAAAATACTGCACCTTTATTTCTTCATCTAATTTGAAATCTGGGGCACATGCACAAACACGCGCGCGCGCACACACACACACACACACACACACACACACACACACACACACACACACACACACAGCAAAAATCAGAAGCTTTTGCAGCTCACACAATCTGCCTGATTGCACACAAATACTTCAGTCAAACACANTCTGGGGCACATGCACAAACACGCGCGCGCGCACATACACACACACACACACACACACACACACACACACACACACACACACACACACACAAATTCACCTTTTTAATTGCATTAATCTGTCAAATAAGTCAGTGTAATTGGCAGGCCAGTTCAGTTTTCCTTGCTTTCTCTTGACCTCTGGATCATCAAACAACCCTGAGGAAATGCACTTATATTAATCTTTATGAGGCTGTTAGTATTTTGTTGTCGTCAGAGCATCACAGTGATAAAAGCTCAAAATCATTTTTAACCTGATCATGATCAGAGGCATACATCTTTCTACAGATAAAAAGACTTTCCTTAGGAACACACTCACATCTCAATGCACTGGTCAATCTTATTAAAAACATCCCATTTTACCACATCCAGGGGTGATGCTAGGATCTGACCTTAGCCCCCAGCAGATTATTAAATCTCTGGTAAATGATAGGGGAGACCAGGGACAGTTGCAACACTTTTTGCATTTGACTCTGTAACTCAGAGATGWTTTGAATTAGACAAACCTAATTTTAATACAATAAACTTACTTTTTAAAATAATTAATTAACAACTGTTGCAACTGTCCCCCTACTTGTCAGCTATGATAAAACCTCATGTGTTAGCTAAATAAGCTGATCTGGATACATGTTAACCATATTTGTTAAAAGTCATCAACATATCACTTGTTTAAACCATATAAAATTGAGCTGGATTACAAAAACAGTGACAACAGTGTAACAAAAAATAAAGCTGGGCAAAAAAATGACTTTGGTACCTCAAAAACAGTTTTTTAAAATAAATCCTGGAGCAGTTATTGAATCTGCTTACTTTTCCTTTGCAAGGTGGGGCATCTAACTGAGGATGTACAGTGTGAGTGTCATCACTCTAGCTTGTTTCTGTTTGGAGAAAAATGACGTGTTGCAACCGTCCCTTGTTGCTACTGTCCCGGTCTCCCCTAGGTGTCCTTAAGAAAGACACTTCACCCGCTTTGCCWACTGGTGTTGGTCAGAGGGTCTGGTGGTGCCAKTGCATGGCAGCCYCGCCTCTGTCAGTGTGCCCCAGGGCAGCTGTGGCTGGAGCTTACCACCATCAGTGTGTGAATGGATGAACTGGTGACTGGCTGAACTGTAAAGTGCCTTGGGGTCCATATGGGCTTGATATTGTGCTATATAAGTTCAAGGCATTAAAACTCACAGCCAATTTACAAACGTTCACATATAAAATTAAATAGTTTAGTGCAATTAAAACAGTTAACAACTACATACTGAATTTGAAACAAAATCTCAGAAGTGTAGAGGTTAGCTACATACTCTCATAACTGAAGTTATGAGGAAAGTTACGAGTTCTTCTCGATTTTGAAATAACACCTTCTCTGTGGAATTATGAGGAAATTACACAATGAGTAACATAGTCAGTAAAAGCTTTATCTAAAATAAATTATATTTATTTACAGGATAAAATTATTGTACAAGTCATTGAGGGACGACTAGATTTTTACAAAAGTTGAAACCAACAACAATTAACTCGCGTTCATGTTAATTATCATTATTTTGACAACTTTATCAGGAACAGCAAACTTTTCAGGCTTAAGATGTTAAATAAACCATTGTTTGAGGCACTGTTCTTGAAGGTTGGCAGGGTCTGGGAAAGATTAAGAATTAGGGAGGAAAAGAGTGTTAGGAAGGGAATTAAGTTTATCAATGTGAGAAAGCCAGAAGTGCACGGAGTCTCACTCGACACAGCCAGGACACAGATGTGCTTTAATCAACAGGTTCAGCCTTTACCTTTGAAGACTTCAAAGTCAGGTTAGGCGTGGGGAGGTCCGCTCAGAAACACTTAACTGTCCGGGCAGTCAGACTTCAAGAGGTTTGGTTATCTCAGCATCTTGTGGTCTTTCAGCTCGTGCGAACAGAGTCACTGCCGACTGGTTTCTCTGGTCAAAAATATAAATGTCTCACAGAAGTTTTGAAACAAAACTCCTTGAAGTCGCAAAGCTGGTAATTGGGTTCACGACTAGTGATGTCGTGAACCTGGGATAAGATCGGCTCTTTGGCAATATGAGCCGAGATCTCATCACCGAACGCTGGCTTCCCTGAGGAGGAAAAAACAGCTCCTTTTCATTTGGAACGAAAATGGTGTCTGAGGTTTGAGGCTCGCCCGTGTTAGTAACTACAACAGAGAGAAAGTTCTAGCGGATGTGACCTCGGGGTTTGTGTTACTAGCAGGTGGACTTAGAAATGTTTAGTCTAGGAGATTTCATTCGTCTGGTAAATACTGCCGTGGTCAGCAAAAACAGCACCTGCAGAAACAAGTTAAAACCTTGACAGGCTTAAAACTGAATGAAGAATGAACTAAACCAGTGGTTCCCAAAGTTGGGGTCGGGACCCAAAGTGGGGTCCTGAAACATCAAGGTGGGGTCCTGAAAAGATTTTCCTATATTAATTACATTTTTGCCTTAGTTACCTAAAATGTATAAATGTAGAATGATAAATATTGTTACTAAGCCCATGTTTAGTTGACCTGATACAAATGTTTATCATCCAAAAATAGTTGTGGGCACAGGTCTCTGCTACTGTTATTTTGTGGGTCAAAAGCTGAAAAGTCTGGGAACCACTGCACTTCAGAAATCAATTTAAAGGGTAATAAAAT